CCCCCGCAGCCTCGACCTGCTGGGCTCCTGCGATCCTTCTGCCTCAGCCTTCCAAGTAGCGGGAACTACAGTCGCGCGCTACCACGCCCGGCTAATTTTTTTATTTATTGTAGAGATGAGGTCTCAACAAGTTGCCCAGGCGGTTCTCGAACCCACGGGCTCAGGCAATCCACTCACCTCAGCCTCCCAAGTTGCCTTTTTTTGAGTTGGGGGTCTCACTGTGTTGCATAGTCTGGAGTACAGTGGCAGAATCATGGCTCATGGCAGCCTCAAACTCCTGGGCTCAAGCAATCCTCCCTCCTCTGCCTCCTGAGTAGCTAGGACTATGGGCACATGCCATCTTGCCTGGCCAATTTTTTTTTTTTAAATTGGAGTCTCACTCTGTCTTTCAGGCTAGAATGTAGGGGTACGCTCACACGGCCACTGCAGCCTCAACTTGCTGGGCTCAGGCGATCCTTCTGTCTCAGCCTTCCACGTACCTGGAACTATAGGCACATGCTACCACGCCCAGCTAATTTTTTAATTTATTGTAGAAATAAAGTCTCACCAAGTTGCCCAGGCTGGTCTCGAACTCCTGGGCTCAGGCAACCCTCTCACCTCGGCTTCCCAAAGTGCTGGGATTATAGGCTTCAGCCACTGTGCCCAGCCACCTGGCCAATTTTTAAACATTTTTTTGTAGAGATGAAGTTTCACTATGTCGCCCAGGCTGATCTCGAACTCCTGGCATCAAGCAATCCTGCCTTGACCTCCCAAAGTGCTGGGATTACAGGCATAAGCCACCACGCTCGGCCTATAACAACCTGTTGAACAAACCTCTGTGTCATCTGTAAACTGAAGCTAAACTATTTTTCTCTGGCAGAGTTCTGGTGGCAATCCACATGACAACAGGTGTCAGCGGTGCTGGAAATCAGTCATCACCCCATGACCATTCAAGAACCCTCATGATGACGATGCCAGACAATGTGGGTGACGAGAACAGAAACGGCCCGCTCCTGCACCAGCCAGCCCCCTTACCTTCATGTTTCTGGAACTCCTCCTCCGAGAAGCTGACGTCCTTGTGGGAGAGGTTGGTCATAAGCTGCTTGTTCTCCTCTTGCAGTTGGGCGATCTGGGACAGGAGGTCCTGTGCCTCCCCACGCCACACATCCTCCACCAGCTCCAGCTCCTGCCGGGGTGAGGGACAGCAGGATCATGGCCTGCCTGGGGTAGCGGCCTCACCCACCTGACCTTCGGGGCACTTGGCGTGCTGGGGTATCGGGCGGTCCTCTTCCCCGTAAGGACTAGGCGTCAGGCAGATGGGTTGACCATGAGCCCCCACGGCACTTGGATCTGTGCCATCAAGATCTGGCCTGGTCCGAGCTGCCCCAAGGACAGCCACAAAGCTGGGGCCGCAACCATCAGCTGCCTGGAGAGAAGAGAGAGGGCAGCCCCAGGCCTTGAGGGTCCTAATGTTCCCAGCCACCTCTGAGGGGAGCTATGTCTCTCGATTTCTGGATAGTTGGGACAAACTTTCTCCATGGAAGAAAGAGGCCTTAAAGACCCTGGGATGCCCAGGCTGACAGAGCCACTCTGCCCCAGAATTCCTTAGATAACTGATATAGGCATCCCTTCCAGGGGTCTTGAGTAACTCATTTAACCACTCTCAGCCTCAGTCAGGGAATCAAAACATAACAGTTCACGAGGTGGATGTGAGGATAAATAACATCAGTCTATCACAATTATTTTGTGGGCCAGGCATGGTGACTCACACCTATAATCCCAGCACTTTGGGAGGTTGAGGAGGGAGAATTGTTTGAGCCCAGGAGTTCCAGACCAGCCTAGACAGCATAGCAAGACCTCATCTCTACAAAAAAAAAAAAAAGAAATAAAATAAATTAGGTGGGCATGGTAGTCCATGCCTGTTTCAGCTACTCAGGAGGCTGAGGCAGCAGGATTGTCCGAGCCCAGGAGGCCGAGGCTGTGGTGAGCCATGATTGTGCCACTGCACTCCAACCTGGGCAACAGAGTAAGACTCAAAAATTAAAATTAAAATTAAAAAAGTTATTTTAGCCGGGCTCAGTGGCTCGGCCTGTAATCCCATGCCTTTGGGAGGCTGAGGTGAGTGGATTGTCTGAGCCCGTGGGGTC